TACCAAGAAGAGGAAAAAAGATAATAAGTGCTCCTTTTACTCAAAATGACTAGTAGGAATCAAACTACGAACATATTCTAGTTGCAACATGTTTCTCCACCCTTGCCCATTACTTGGGTTACATTGAAGGGTTGAATGTTTATGATTGTTTTCAAACCCTGCTAATTACGAAAAGACCACCATTCCAAAACCAGAGTCTAGTTAACAAAATGGATATTTCAAAAACAGAATTTCGTTGGGTATGATTTGCCTTTGAGGAGGCAAAAGATAGGTCCATGACCTTTACTGAACTGAATTCTTATTCTAAATCATCTAGAGATCTTTATGTGTCAAAAACGCCTTTGAAAAATGGCTCAAATGGATTTAAGATGATATGTTTTGACTACGTTTTTTAGGAATGATAATGGAGGTGATACATTCATACTAAAATACAAGTTTAAGTGGTATTTTGGCAAAATTTGAAGTATATAAGTGGTATCTACGCACAACCCTAATGGTTTGTATACATAGTGTTTGTACAATTTTCCCTTTAACAAAACTGACATAATCATATCAATATTTACTTGTAGACAATAAAGGTACGTGCCAAACATTGGAAAAACTGTAACCAAATGTAGACATGCCAACATCCCCTCTTCCCACTTGGTTGCTTTTCCAATTGTCATGCCCCAAACACATATTACTAACCTATGTATTCACTTTTGGATTCCCATTAGATAGCTCATAGCCCCACCAAACCTATCCAATTCAACCCTGCCTCTCCCACTTTTAGTACCACCTCCACTTCAACGTACCAAGATCCTCTCTTGATCCTTTTTGTGAGGATCCTAGAGATCAATTGACTTTGGCTGTTCACTAAAAAATCGAATAGTTGGGAATTATTTATATTTTAACGTATTCAGATGCCTCAACCCCTTACCTTTCTCTTGGTCATCGTCACCTCTCTCTTCTCCCGTTCACTTACCTCCATAAAGAAAGCTTCAAGCTTTTAATGAAAACACAACCCATGTGAATGAATTGCTTCAAATACAAGAGATGTGTAACCAAATTTGCGCACCGCCATAGGAGGTGGGGAGGGCTAAAACCTTTTTTTCTACAAAAGAACACATACCGTGATTGTTAATGAATGATTTTAGCATAATTTTTTTTTTTCAGTAATTTAAAAAAAAAAATATAATTTATGTAGAATATCCTAATTTTTTATTAACGTCTTAACCTAAAAGTATTTAAATTCCATAAAATAATGAAAAATGACTGAAACTACCCCATGAAAGTCATGGAAAAACATGGAACATGAAAAGTCATGTAACAACATGGAAAATCCTTTCTACACATGAAACGCATGAAGAAATAGTTTTGGAAGTGGGTAGAAAGAAAAAATGGAAGAATTGCACGAGGAAAGTGATATTTGTGCGGATGTTTGAAGAAATACATAGGTGAGTTTTTGGGTGAATTTTAATTTTAAATAATTTTTCAATTGTTTTAGTCATTGAATTTAATTTTGGGCTGTTAGATCTTTTTTTTACTGTTAGATTTGTTCATATTCGATCTTAGACTTTCGATTTAATGTAACTATAAATTTGATTAAAAAAAATGAATTTGGACTATTGGATCAACTAATACCCCAATCTTTACAGACGTATGATCAAATAAAAGAGTCGTTGGGCTTGTCACAAGCGGTTGAATAACGTGGCGCACGTCCAACTATTGTGCGTGGGCAAAATTGAGGCGCATTCATGCGATGGGCCACTCACTTATCTCTGGCTCATTTTTTTGGCCGAAATCTAGCCTAAACTAAATTTTCTCCCCAATCTTTATTTTAGCCTTATGATTGGAGATGCTTTGAGGGTACAAAGCTTATTGCATTTGGTCTAAACAAGGTAGGAGAGTGGGTTAAACCTCACAATGGGCTAACCATGTTAATTTGGTTCGAATTCGCCTCTATCAAAAATCGAAACTAAAACTTCTCACTTCAAGAGAAGAGGAATTTCACTAGATCATAATACTAAATAATCATATCCAAGCAATATTAAGACAAAGGAAATCGAACCTAAAACATTGAGTACAAAGATAAATACTCTTAACCACTTGAGCTACATACTTTTTGCTTGAATCTCCAGGCCGCTTTGGGAAACTATAGATAGGCATCACATGATCTAATAAAAAATATCCTCGTAGCCAAACCAACTGTTAAAATTTCAGACAGATGAACCCAACAAACTTTAGCACAAACTACATATTGACATCACATCACATGATCTAATTCAAAATTCTATCACTAACATCACATGACTGAATTCTTATGTCCTCGTACCCAAACAACTATCATAATGTGATCTCATGATCTAATAAGGCTCAGATTCATGGGTTTGATAGGAGCTTGGAATTTCATATGGATGCTTGATCACATTCTGATTGTTTGGCTACTAGTCTTGTGCAGCGCTATTTCGAAAGCAAAACGATGAGCATGCTTCTTCATTTACGGGACAACACATATAAAAGAATTTAAGTGGAATAAAAACATCACAAACGAAAGACATAAACTGAAAACAAAGCAACACTAAAAGCAACATAAAACCAATCGACATTGACACTTCCACCACCGATCAAAATGGTTTGGTTCTGCAAAGAAATAAAAAATGCTACTTTTATCATCTAGTTTTTACCATAATTTGTATCATCTCTGTAATAGAGATAAGACCCATATGCGTTGACGGACAATGATGTTGCTACGGGTGGCTATGGAGTTGAGCCATTGATGGTAGGTTATGAAGGTAGTAGAAATCATATGTTACAAATTTGATTTTATAATAGATATCAAATTAAACAAAATTGATGATGGTGAGAGTAGTTTTTTCTTGGTTATTTTTTTCTTCAAAATTTGAAATTTTTAAACATTGGCAAAGTATAAAATATTGTTTAATTGGATTTGTACATTTAGCAATGTCATGGCTATTAACATAACTTTTGACGAATGTGACAGGTTGTGCCAAATGTGTGAGGACATAAATAAACATGATGAATTGTGAATCCACAATAAAATAAGTTATGTAACTTATATTTGTACATAAATTACAAGTTCTGTCTTCTTTACACTATACATCAGCACCTCTCGAAACATGTTTTGAATTACATAAAACAAAATGAGACCAAAGTTAAGTTTTGAAAAGCGCTAATATATGATGTAAATAAGCTTTCTTAATATTCACGTTTGTGTTTTGTACCATCTTATGATATTATGACGAAACATATTTTCCATACATGAAAAAACGTGGAGAGGTAATTGAGCAGTACCTGCTTCTTTTTGTCTTTACTTTTGTCTTTCTAAAATATGCGGCTACAAAGTTACAGTCCGTCGGTACGAAAAAATTTAGATTGATTAGGATTTAAGAGAGGAGTAGTCGATCTCAGTTTTTATTCATGACTTTTTTTATTCACGATTTTTTTTATTTTTAAGTAAGTAAACATGACACGATTTATAATAGCACACAAAATATGATCATGAAAATAATAAAAATAATCATTTTTCTTTGTTATGCATAAACTTCGTTACAGTGGAAAATGTTATAAGAGATAAAGCTTATGAAGGGGCCTAATAAAGTAGAATGGATTAGAACCGTGACATGATACCTTTTCACTAAAACCACATAGTCAATTCCACAAAATAGCTCCAATTTAAAAAGATTTTTTTAGCCAAAATGGTTTTTGAGATTAACATAACTCATCACTTTGTTTTCTAAGATTTGAAATCGTGGACTTTGAGTTTGCTCACCATCAATCATTTTGGTCATTCCATAAAAAATAGTCATTAAATAATGATAAAATGACAAAAGTACCCTTAATGTTTGTCAAATCAAAAATTTTCATTTTTTGTCCTTATTTAACAATTTTTTGTATGGAATGACTAAAATGATTGATGCTAGACAAACTCAATGACTGTTTCTATCGATTTCAAATCTCAAGGAACAAAGTGAGAAGTAATGTCAATCTTAAGGACCACTTTGGTTAAAAGATCATTTAAAGGCAAAAGCCTAATCTCACCCTCAAAGATGTAGAAACACTACGCAAAATTGTCACCAATTAACCAAGAAAACGGAAAAAAAATATCAATTTAAAGGCTTGATCTAATCTTAGTACCAATCCCAAAAACTTTCTAAAAGTCGAGTAATGCGAGGGATTCTATGAGTTGTTTAGTTTATAGAGCGACATTATATGGTTTTTCCCGTGATACAACGATAGTAGGGGATGTGGAGACGAACCTTGCATTTCAAAAGTATAAATTATTAATCTTAATCACTTGAAGTGCAAGTTCCTTACTTTATATTCTGCTTAAGAATAAAGATTATTTGCACTTTTTATACAATAAAAAAACACCACCTTAAAATGTAAGGATAAATGCAGATTTGCTAGACTTATATTGTTAGACAACTGTTCTTGTTAAATCATTTTCAATGGGCTCCTTAAATAAACTTCTTAATTAAAATTTTAGAAAATTTGGAAAATTTCATCTCGAATCACACTCTCTATCGCTAGGATGGTCCAAATTGTTGTGAGCTCCTAAACCAAAGGAGGGATAAAGGAGCTCGTTGCATGAATTACTACCTTTTTAATAATTCGTGAAGTAAATCATATTTATTATAAACTCCATGAATTAAAAAGTGAGATTGGAGTAGGAATATTTAGAGGAGCTCTTAGCTTTCTAGCCTTAACAAAAAAATAGACAACGTGATTTGAGATGCTCTTATATCAACCTGCGTACTCTCCTGGTGAAAAGAGTGCAAAAATCATTTTTCTGAAATTTTGGAGTAGATTTCTTGAGGGAGAAAAAAAAAAAAAAAAAAAAAAAATTCTTTATTTGTTATCCACGTTGGACCAACATGTAGCGCATAATATTTTGGTTCTAACGTAACGTGTGTCAGATTAAGAAATAAATTATTTAAAAATGGAAAAACAATTAAGAAATCAAACTTGGAATAAATCAATGAGGACTCCCTACTTCGCAGAACTTTCCTTCTTAGTGTATAATAATTCTCGTTTGTCATAAAATCATTTGCCGGGTGCCGGCATCGAACTCCATCTCCTCCTCCACTCTTGACTCCATCTCTCTTCTTTCTTTTCTAACATTCAACAGACCCAGAGTGCTGGGCTCCACTCAAACCCAACTCTCTCTCTCTCTCTCTCTCTCTCTGAAAGAGGCAAAGAGGGAGGAGAAGTTGATCCATTTGATCAAATCAATCCATTTTGGCTTCTGGGTTTGAGGTAATACGGTTGTTTCTCTGTTTGTTTTGCTGTATTTGTTTGTAAAAATGGTTTCTTTTCAAGTGGGTTGGTGCCACTTGATGTTGTGGCTGATCTGTAAGTAGATGGCTTGCACTCCATGCCATCTGTGCTGATTCTTCATTTGTTTCAACTTCCAAACACTGCCTAATTAATTTTACTCAGCTTTATTTGGTATGTGATTGAAGTGGTTGTTTGAAAGCAGTCATTTAAGCAGTCTTAGGTGGAAAAACTGGGTTGTTTGAATGCAGTCATTAATTTTTCTTTCAGATTGCAGGCCATAGCTCTGAAAAGATGAAAAAGTGGAAAAAAATGAAGATATAATCAGCAGTTTTAGGGAAAACCAATGAAGTTTCTTCCTTTTGGGAGTGATCTCTAATGGGTCACCAGACATTTACTGGTTTTTGATAATTTTTAGCTTGGTGTGCGTTGTTGTCCTCCAAGTTTCTTAACCAAATGGGTAAATGTAGCTTTTGGTGTGTGTGAATACAGTGCCCTGCTTTGGTGTAATCGTGATTCCGTGTTCTGCCCCCTTCTTAATTGGTTGATAATTTGTACTTGCAGATGGTTTCTATAAATGGGAAGACAGACCTTGAATCTGATGAAGATATACCTTTTAGCTCATCAGCAGCCACCAGTAAAGTAGAGGCCTTGGACTTTGAGATGATTCATTTGCGGTCACGAGCAGATTTGGCGAAGTCATGGGTTTCAAGACATATGTGGATAAGAGTTCCGAGGAGTATTTATATAGTCTTATTTAAAGCAAAGATCAATATGTTGCTACCCTTTGGTCCTTTGGCGATTTTGCTACATTATATTACTGGAAAGCATGTATGTATATATCCCTATTTCATTTTTAGTGACCCCTTCATTTAGTTAGGAGAAGAATGTAGAAGAGTTTAGTAAGCAGGGAAGTGCAGAAGAGAAATAGTCTTAGCTACCTGCAACTAATCAAAATTTAGCGGTTTCCATGTCTTTATTTTCTGTTGGAACTTGACATTACAACCTTGTAATGTAGCCTTATCTTATGTGGCAAGGTGTTCCAACATGGTTTCTTTTTTTGCACATCCTTTCAATAATTTAAATTGACTTCACCCCTAATCTGTTGACACTTACTTTGTATACGTTAGGGATGGGTATTCTTCTTCAGCTTAGTGGGCATCGTACCTTTAGCAGAGCGTCTAGGATATGCCACTGAGTAAGTGCTAGACTGTCAAGTTTTGTATAGCAGTAAGTTCTCTTAATTTCGTCTAAGGCTAATTCTTGAGTTTGCCATTGTTGTGGTGCAGGCAACTTGCTTTCTACACTGGACCAACAGGTATAATTTTTACCCTGCCAACTGATGGTAGCCTGAATTTTTGTATCATTTTCATAAATATTTGTAGCGATATTCATACTGCTAACTGGTTTTGGATTTCGAAGAATTTTTGTCTGAATATATAATTTTGATGAAAGAACCCAATTTTCTAAGGTTACCACCATCCTAGTTTCGATTCCTGGCTCTGCTGCTGCAGTAAAGTACTGTTCTGATCGATGGTCATGCTCAATAAGTATATATTAGTGGATGGTATTGGTAATATGGGCTTTTTTCATAGAAGTATATTTTCCCTTGAATCACCTGACAGTTGACAAGTATATTTTATGATTTTTTTAGTTATCCTCGATAGATTAACTTCTTCCCTAGAATAATTGTGTATCTCATTGATTAGACTTAGACTGTATAGGAACTAACAGAGTTGGTTCCTGGTAAACTATGCAAGCTATCTTTTTCTGGTTATTGGAACGTGAACATGCATTTCTCCAGGTGTTTAGATCTCGACTTAACATTATGGGATTTAAATCCCCTAACAGCATCAGTTGCTTCTCTTACCTTCCTACCTGTTTACTAGTTAATCTCTATGATCATGTGTCTGGTTGAATGGCTTGTACGAAGTAAACTGTTTTTGTACGGTACTTTGATCATATCAATTAGTCTAATGAAGTTTTGGTACCATTGATTGATTACAATGTTTGCTTACTAGAGTGTTTACTGGACATCCTGAAAGATGTTTTAGTTGTTATAAATAGTGATTTAGTTGTTATAAATAGTGATTCAGATAATCTTTAAAATTTATCACAGATTCCCAGTGTCGGATTACCCGTTCTTTTTTGTTTCACTTGATGCATTTTTTTTTGTTGGTTATGAAAATGGATAGGTAGTTCCTCTTGTTTTCAAATTAAGAATGTAGGTAACCTACTTACTTATTCAAAAAATCTTGTACCTTTGTGCATCTGTTTTTGGTTATGTCTCAAGTGAGCTCGTTGTTGGATTGCAGTTGGGGGTCTGTTAAATGCCACATTTGGAAATGCCACAGAAATGATTATATCAATATATGCATTAAAGAACGGAATGATAAGGGTTGTTCAGCAATCTTTATTAGGATCAATCTTGTCCAACATGCTTTTAGTGCTCGGATGTGCCTTCTTCACTGGTGGAATCATTCATTACCAAAAAATTCAGGTTTTCAACAAGGTAGAATCATAGATCTTCAAATCTTGTTTTTGAACCCTGAAATTTTCTGCTCTGTGGGCTCTTTGACATTCGTTCATCTTGGTGTCATGACATTTACATCCAAATGTGGTTACTTTTGCAACAGTCTGCAGCCCTCGTGAATTCAGGATTGCTGTTGATGGCTGTCATGGGGTTAATGTTTCCGGCTGTGCTTCATTTTACGCGCTCAGAGATCCACTTTGGGAAGTCAGAGTTATCTCTTTCAAGATTTAGCAGCTGTGTAATGCTAGTGGCATATGCGAGCTACCTTTTCTTTCAACTTAGAAGTCATCGTAATCTTTATAATCCCATTGAGGAGGTCAGTCAATTTTGCTTAAATTTTTCAAAGGATCTAGAAAGTCATTGTTTTTCTATTTTGAACATTGTGCATTTCTGTGTTAGCTGCTGAAGTTAAAGTTTATCAAAAATGATGAATTCTTTGCATTTTTTAAATCTTGAATAAGCTTCAGTTTTTTATATTAAAACAATTCATATTTAAGGGAATTATCTTGTTAATTTTGTTATGATTTTTTATTTCCATAAGAAGAGTGATTACTAGTTCCTTCAGCTTTCTATTGAAAATATAAAGCTAATACATGGAATGGCTCTTGGGAACATTATCTGACCCAACTCCATTTAGTTGTTTAATTTCTCTTTGGAAATTGTTTCAGGAAGGAGTCAGGGGTGAAGATGAATCCGATGAGGAAGAGGCTCCCGAGATAACTCATTGGGAAGCAATTGGCTGGCTTGCTGTTTTAACTGTCTGGGTGTCCGTTTTGTCTGGATACCTTGTGGATGCTATCCAGGTAACACTTGCTTCATGTATTAGCCCACTGTGCTCCAGGTGCATAGTTTCTGAACTGATATTGTGCTGACCTTTTTCACTTCCGTTTTCTGTGTCTGATTGTGAAGCACATTTTTCATTCTTGTTTTACTGGGTAATTTGGCCTTGGTTTTGTGTAACTATTTGATAAGTTAATGTATTTACTGTTTCTCCAGGGAGCGTCTGACTCATTCAACATGCCTGTGGCATTTATCAGTGTTATACTACTACCAATTGTAGGAAATGCTGCAGAGCATGCAAGTGCTATCATGTTTGCCATGAAGGACAAGCTTGTGAGTGCTTTGAATTGAAGATTTCTGAACGTCAATTTACAGACTCCGTTTTATGTTATTGACGGAATTAACCTTTCTTTAGGATATCACACTCGGAGTTGCAATTGGATCATCTACACAAATATCCATGTTTGTGGTAAGGACTTGAACAGCTGACTAATGAGTACTCACTGCAGAACTTTGGCATGTGATTCAATGTCTATGAACCATCGCAAACCTCTGTTGGACTTGCTTGTTATACTTTCTCTTGAGTTGATTACATTTCAGAACGGAAAATAGGCTAATAATTTGTGTTCTTGACAATTGTAGATACCCTTCTGCGTAGTTGTTGGGTGGATCATGGGACAGCCAATGGACTTGAATTTTCAACTGTTTGAGACTGCCACACTTTTTATTACAGTGTTAGTCGTGGCATTTATGTTGCAGGTTTGTGATCCTTTCCTCGTTTGTCTTCCTTTGAACCATTAAGAGTTTCTCTAATCTTAACTATTAACTTATTTGGTCCCCGTCGAGTCTTCCTATTACATAATCCAAGATGAATCGTGCCTTCTTACTTTCATTCCTTTTATTTTGTTTCTTTTCAATTGTATAATATGACCGTGTTTCTTAGTTGCGTTTTTCTTTTTTACTTTCAACTTTGCTCGATATGAGATTCGTTGCCTTCATCCTTGTAGGAAGGGACGTCAAACTACTTTAAAGGCTTGATGCTTATTCTGTGCTATCTCATAGTTGCCGCCAGTTTTTTTGTACACGTCGATCCTTCAGATGGTGAGTCACAAGAAACTTATTTAGTTATTACATTTTTTCGAACACACTCGTGACAAGTCATCTTCATATGAAGGGGCATACACTGGCCTAAACAAACATACGGATCTCTTTTTGGTTTAATTTGTGCCATGCTCCTAATTTCTGGCACACAATTGATCGAAATTAACACAACCTGCACATGACTCATCGAGTTTCAATTGTGTCAAATGCCTTTTTTTTATCGTATTTGTATACTGAATACGTAGCGCGCACAAGCGATATCAGCCAGTATATGTGGAAATACACGGTTAAAAGACATGCTGAGTGCTTTTTCTATAACCGTATCTGCTTTTCCTAGTTGTGTCTTGTAACTGAAGTCGAAACTGAATCAATAACACATCAATTACATTATTGACTGGATATTCGATTAACGTATCTGTTCTCAATTATCTGTTTTTGGGATTCGTTGCAGATGGTAATTAAACTAACCATTGGAGTGATGGCCTAGCATGTAACGATCTACATAGTGTCTGCGTTTGTATGTGCAAAAAGGAGGTACGAGAAATACAGGAAGCTACTCTTCCACGAATCCTCATACCACTTAGCGGGATAAGGCTTTGTTGTTGTTGATCATGTAATGGAAAATCCATATGATCTCCCAGAGCATCAAAAGTATGGAAACTTGTTCAGCTTTGTATAAAAGAGCAGTTTGATTCTTTTCAGAAGCATGAGCATTCAGCTGTAACATTTGCTTTTCACTTTAGCTTTTGACAAAATGACTCGTTTGACTTTGTCAAAATTTTCCTTGATGTTAGGTTTTCCATCCATCTCTGTTTAATTTTGTCTCTTTTCTGTCCTCTTTGAATTAGTTTCCGTCAAATTTGTTTTCTTTCAATGATATTTCGTTATTGACAAATAAATATTTTAAACTACTCGAATTTACGGAAGAAGAATATGAATTTAGATGCAAGAAGGCTAGCGTGCTACTCATTAGCAAGAGTTGAATCATCCCTTAGAAAGAAAACTTTAAACTCACGATTATAATTAACAAAGTTGAGGGTTTGAAAACTAAACTATGGGTGTAATTAAGTTAATTAAAGTAGTTTATTTTTCTCACCTAAGTTCGAATTTCCTTCTCGAGGACAACTTTTTCTTTTTCTTTTTTTGTTAAAAAAAAAACTTGATCTTTTAAAAAAATGTGTCATAAAGAAAAGAATTTCTAAAAGAAAATTGAGTAGGTCACACACACAAAGAACTTTGAATATCTAATCTCAAATTTTTGGTATGATCCGATTGACTGACTAGAACAACTCTTACTTTAGGTAGAATCAGTGCGAGATCGGGTCAATACTAAAATATGTAGGCACATATTTTCGTTAAAAGTTTCTTGCAAATGACGTGGTCGGACACCCCTCCAAATCTTTCCCCAAAATCAAAATTGAGCCAGAGAAAGGATAACACAGATACTGATGCACAACATGCAAACCACGTCAAGCCAGCAATCACATTAGCCATGAATCCATGACTTGATGCTCTTTGTTATGGCTTCATCAACTTATTAACCCTCCATTAATTAAGCTTAAATATATCTCTTAAGAAAATTGTGGAAGGCAGTGACAGTTTTATAACTCCCCCCACCACTCTCTACACGTTCCAAAATTTTGGTCCCAAAACCTCCATTGATTTCGAGTTCAATCATTCATTAAGAAAAATTAAATTTAAATTAAATTCTTTAATTTTCAATTATTTTCCATAATTTAAGACACAGAAAACTCTCCCATCAACTACATCTTTAAATTAACAAACCCACCAATCTTTTTCTTTACCATTATTTCTTGTTTATCTATTTAAATCCAGACCACACTGCCTTAAAAAATCCAAATAATTCAATCGATCTTCTGGTTCTCCCCATCCTCCATTAATTCTTCAGTTTATTTAATTTTTTTTTATAGCAATTCTTGAATTCCATATGGGTGCATTTGGCATTGCCATTGCACTTCTAGTGCTACCAATAATTTTAGAAAACCAAATTGTATGCGGGAAGCAAAGCATTTACAGGTTGAAGAAGTGTGATATTTACCAAGGAAGATGGGTTTATGACCCTAATTCTTACCCTCTTTACGATTCAAGTCTTTGCCACTTCTTAGATCATGCCTTCGATTGCCAGAAAAATGGTCGAGCCGACGAACTCTATCTCAAATATCGATGGCAACCCTATTCATGCAATTTACCAACGTACGTATGTAAGATAAAGGAGAAAGAAAGTTTCAAATTATGATTCTCGGTGCAGGGTTAAGTGCTCGTTACATTTGATTTCTTTTCATCAACTATATCTATATGCATATGATTAAATTAGTTTTGAATTGCATTAGGTTTGATGGTGAAGATTTCTTGGAGAGATTTAGAGATAAACGCATCATGTTTGTTGGAGACTCGTTAAGTTTGAACCAATGGCAATCGCTCACGTGCATGATTCATGCAACTTCACCTCAGTCCGGTTATACCATCAAGAGGATAGGCGGAACCTCTACGTTCACATCGAAGGTAATAATCTTTAATTTAGTCATTTAATCTGGAGTAATTAGTAGCTAAATTAAATAATTGATTAATTATATATGAATTTGCAGAGTCACAATGTTTCTTTGATGCTAGCACGCAATGCATTTCTGGTTCACATTGATCAACAGAGATATGGTAGGGTTTTGAAACTCGACTCTATCGACCTTAAGGATGGGAAATCATGGAAAGAATATGATGTTTTGATCTTCAACACTTGGCATTGGTGGCTCCACGCTAGAAGGAAACAACCGTAAGATACAATCACACTTTTGGTGGTTTAAATTCATGCATTCGTGATATCTTGCGTTACATTTTTGAATCGATGACGTATAACTTTAGCGGTAGAGCACTTTATTTACAGTATATAAGGAGGAATATTAGGGCTAGAGTATGCATAAAAGCATATGGTTGTTAATCTTTGTTTGCATCGCATGCAGGTGGGATTTTATTCAAGATGGAAAGACTTTACATCGAGATATGAATCGTCTTGTTGCTTATGAGAAAGCCTTGAAAACTTGGGCTCGTTGGGTGGACAAAAATGTTGATACTAAGAAAACCAAAGTCTTCTTCCAGAGTATTTCACCGAGTCATTGGAAGTAAGTTTAAAACTGTTAAGTTTTGAGTTATACAAGGTGGAAACCTTCCCTCCTATCAAAAGCGTATCAAGTCTCTTTTGTTTACAATATATTAAAATTCAGAATCCCCTTCAAAATTAAACAATAATTGACGGGTTGATATACAGAGTAATGCTCCACACACCAGTGTTACTTTATTCATTGTACATCAAACATTGTGCCAACCTATCATTTACTCAAATCTAGGTTCACTCTGAATCTTAATTAATATTTTTAACAAGTAAGGTGTTAACATATATAAATACATCGTTTGGCGAATATACTTGTATGAAAATTTGATACCTTGTGTACTGTGTTAATCAACTTGTTCCTAATATAAATGAATGGTATTAATTTTGTGATTAACATTAGTGCAAGTCATTGGGGTTACCCAGATGGGAGGAACTGCACAGCAGAAAGAGAGCCACTAGTAGTAGCATACCCAAGAAGCAAAGACCCAGCAGAAGTGATTGTGGAAAAAGTGCTTGGTGACATGTCGAAGCAAGTGCTTTTGCTTAACGTGACAGGGCTGTCACAGCTGAGGAAAGACGGTCACCCATCTATATATGGCAATGGAGCACACCTTGGCATGGACTGCAGCCATTGGTGCCTCCCTGGAGTTCCTGACACATGGAACCAGTTGCTGTACACTGAGCTCATTCGAAATTAAAATAAATATTGATTAATTACTTGGTATATTCATATATAATAAAAGTGGTTTGATGCTAATTGTATTACTAATATGTTTTTAAGTCTTTGGTAATTGTTGCAATGATCAAGTTAATTGATTAGGATTTCTTATATAAAACGGATACACCGTCACTTGTCGTCTCAGTCTAATGTTACATTGTCATGTAAAGAAAAACTTCAATAAGAGTCAATGAAAGTGCATGATTGAACAAGAATGTTACAAGAACCTGTTTAATCATTTAAGTTAGACAAGACCTAGACTTGATCATTTGGGTGAATCAACTATCTAGATGAAAATAAGAGTAGATTAAACGTAGGTTTAAAGCAGGTACATAGTCATAGACCTTGGACTCGTGCATGACATTAGCTATAAAATAAAGTTACATGCGTGTTTTAGCTTGGGCCAAAATCATAATCATTTTATTTGTGAAATGACGTTACAACGAAGATATCTTTGACAGATTTTTAGTTCAAACGTATCAAACTTTAGCCTATATAAATATAAACGAAGAATAGTTACCAAAAAATATACAAGAGCGATATGTGAATGAATGTCTTGCGAAAAGCTAAGCTATTAATTGGCACCGTGAGTAACGCTTACTGTCTTAATTTTGTGCTTCTCTTTAGGCCTATGTGCTGCAAGAGAGAGGGAGTGTATTGGAGTTGGTTGATCCAGCCTTGGGTTCAGAATACTCATCGGAAGAGCCCATGGTGATGCTAAACGTTGCTCTCTTGTGCACCAATGCATCTCCCACTCTTAGGCCTACAATGACCCAAGTAGTGACAGTGAGCATGCTCGAAGGCTGAACGGCGGTTCAAGACCGGCTTTCGGATCCCGGGTTTTCAGCCGTCAATTCCAAGTTCAGGGCCATCGGAAATCACTTCAGGCAATATATCCAAGCTGTACTCAGAGCATGTCAACCAACGGCTCGAAAACTGATACTTCTAGTTCATGCATTGAAGCAGAAGAGAGAGAGCAAATCTCTTAAGAGTTGGATCATTGACTTCGTTTAAATAATATAAGGCCACATCTATTTTTACTAGTGATTTCACTTTTAACTTTGAAGTACTTACTATTCAGTTCACATACACATGGCTGATGGAAGTATTTCGCTACATGCTTTCAACACAAACTGATGTTTTTTTAAGGGTAAATAGCCAGAATGGTCATGAGATTTGCATAACTTATCACTTTGGTCCCTAGCATTTCAAATCAATCAAAGTGGTCCCTGTGATTGTTCACCATCCATCATTTTAGTCATTCCATTAAAAACTCCGTTAAGTGTCCCGGAGCTCTTGGTTGGAAGTTTGGGCAATTTTCAAAGCTTTGTAACTCAATCGTTTCTTAACCAAATTCAACCCATAATATATCAACATGAAGATAGGAAAGTGTAGAATAAGATTATAACTATTTGGAAGCCCAATGGTTGCCAGAGATGGCCGGAAAATAACCTCAAAGTTTACTGGTCCCAAAGAAAACTGGAAAACTTGCTGGAAACTAGGTAAACTTTAAACGTTCATAACTTCTTCAATACTCAACGAAATCAAGTGATTCAAAAACGAAAATCATACTTCTCGATGAGACAAAGAGAATGGTACATTTTTAGATGGCTAACTCACCGTGGTTTGGCCGGAAAAAGGTTCGAAAGTGGCTGTGATTTTCGTTTTTGAACCACTTGATTTCGTTGAGTATTGAAGAAGTTATGAACGTTTAAAGTTTACCCAGTTTCTGACGAGTTTTCTAGTTTTCTCTCGGACCAGTCAACTTTGAGGCTATTTTCCAGCCATCTCTGGCAACCATTGGGCTTCTAAATAGATATAATCATATTCTACACTTTCCTATTTTCATTTTGATATATTGTGGGTCGAATTTAGTTAAGAAACGATTGAGTTACGAAGCTTTGAAAATTGCCCAAACTTCCGGCCAAGAGCTCCGGGACACTTAACGGAGTTTTAACGGAAAAACCAAAATGATGGATGGTGGATAAT